AGAGAAATTATGATAAATCTCTATAAACATATAAATGGTTTAAAGAACTAAATATAATAAACTACTATAACAAAACAGAGAATGCACACAATCTCGACTCAGGGAAGTCTTCTTAAGCAACATGAAAACTACTTGCCTACGTTGATAGATATGACTGTGTAAACTTTTAAAACTTCTATATAAGCAAAACACAACATTATGTCAAGAGACAAATAACAGACTTGGAGAAACAGATGCAAGACATGACAGATAAAGAATCACTAACATTTTTTAAAAAATCTAAAAATAAGTAAACCAACTGATAGAAAAATAGACAAATGAAAATGAACTAGCAAGTAAAAGGGCAATAAACACATGTAAAGATGTTCAACCTAACTAGAACTTGGGGAAATGTAAATTAATTCAACATCATTATTTCACAGCCTCAAACTGGCAAAAATGAAAAGCTGATAGCTTCCAGTGCTTGTGAGTGTGTGTTGGCAGTACAGATTACTGTAACCTTTTGGAAAATAGAAAAATTTTGGAAAGTAACAGATTTTAAAATCTGTTAAATTATAAAATATGTATATCCTTTGTTCCAACAATCTCATATATAATTTACCCTAGTAAAGAAATGACATCAACATATAATCAGTTAAATAGACATATAGGAATGTTTCTTGTAACACTGTATATAATAACACGAACAGAAAGAAACAGTAAAAAAAAAAATAGTAAATAACAGGGATGGACAAACAAAGCTAATGTCCATTATGAGCACAAGGGCTTAATAACTCATGATACGTGAATACTTTGGAATATCATATAGCTATTAATTAAAATAAGTCAAATTTATATGATTTGACTTAGAAAGATGTCTATGATATTCAATGAATAAAAAGCAAGCTGCAAAATATGCATGCCATGATCCCATATTTGTTAAAAGAAAACTGTATTATGTGATACTATATTTTTTATATTTTCTAAACTCCTATTTACATATTGAATTTCCCAAGCAATCAATAAATACACTTTGGTTTTGAATATATCTATAACTCTATTAGAGGTCTCACCATCAAAATACTGTACTCTCTCAAATCAAGGTGCACTAATGGCACTATCAGACAATACAATCTTTTGGAATCTTCTACAATGAAAAGGATAATAATAAAAACCATGTTAAAGAGCAAAATGTTTAACACTTTTTTATTCAAAAATAAAAACACTTTTTAATGTTGTGATTTTACATCTATAGAAAACAACCATATTTTTTTCCTATAATGGAAACAAGGCATCTATTTCATTGAGTAATATAATTATGTTCATTATACAGATATAAACAAGGGGCAAACATTACAATCCAATTCTTCCTTGTCAGAAACTGAATTTTCTCAGAATGATACTCATTTTTCCCAATAAATGCAATTAAACATTGATATTACAACTTAAATATTCTACTCAAACAGCTAAATCTTAGTGTAACGTCAACATAAAGTTTCAAGCAGCCTGATATAATTAATTACAGGAGCACTTGATTTGGAATCAGACATGGGTTCCAATCCTGACCCACCAACTCATTAGTAGTGTGGTCTTGGGCCAGTTATAACCTCGGAGCCTGTTTGGCATCTGCAAAAAGATAGCTCTCTATCATGTTTTTAGAAGATTAAAGAGTAACATAGATCAAAAATGGTTAATACAGACTCTGATTGTTAAAATACGCCTTCTTCTGCCTGGCACAGCAGTATGCACCTACAGTCCCAGCTACTCCAGAGGCTAAGGCAGGAGGATCGCCTCAGGCCAGGAGTTTGAAACCAGCCTTGGCAACATAGGGAGATCCTCCCACGTCCAAAAACAGAAAAATTAGTCAGGAAATTAGTCAGGCATGGTGGTGCACATCTGTAGCCCCAGCTACTATGGAAACTGAGGAGGAAGGATTGCAGAAAGAAAGAGAGAGAGAGAGAGAGAGAGAGAGAGAGAGAGAGAGAAAGAGGAGAGAGAGGGACGGGAGGAAGGAAGGAAGGGAAGAAGAGGAAGGAAGAAGGAAGGAAGGAAGGAAGGAAGGAAGGAAAGGAAGGAAGGAAGGAAGAAGGAAGGAGGAAGAGGAAGAGGAAGAAGGAAGGAGAGAGAGGAAGGAAGGAAGAGAGAGGAAGGAAGGAAGAAGAGGAAGGAAGGCAGAGAGAGAGGAAGAAGGAAGAGAGAGAGAAGGAAGGAAGGAGAGAGAGAAGGAAGGAGAGGAGAGAGAGAGAAGGAGGGAAGGAAGAAGGAAGGATAGGAAGGAAGAAGGAAGGAAAGAAGGAAGGAAGAAGGAAGGAAGAAGAAGAAGAAGAAAGAGAAGAAAGAAGAAAGAAAGAAAAGAAGAAGAAAGAAAGAAAGAAAGAGAAAAGAAAGAAAGAGAAGAAAGAAAGAAAGAAAGAAAGAAAGAAAAAAAGAAAGAAAGAGAAAGAAAGAAAGAAAGAAAGTAAGAAAGAAAAGAAAGGAAGGAAGGAAGGAAGGAAGGAAGGAAGGAAGGAAGGAAGGAAGGAAGGAAGGAAGGAAGGAAGGAAGGAAGGAAGGAAGGAGAGAGAGAGAGAGAGAGAGAGAGAGAGAGAGAAAGAAGCCTTCTTCTGCCTTTCTTTTCTAAGGGGTCAGACTAATTCCTTTTATAAGAATTTTTTTTTTTTTTTTTTTTGAGACAGGGTCTTACTCTGTCACCCAGGCTAGAACGCAGTGGTATCATCATAGTTCAATGCAGCCTCAAACTCTTGGACTGAAGTGACCCACCTGCCTCAGCCTCCAAGAAGCTGGGACTACAGGCATACGCCCAGCTAATTTTTCTGTTTTTTTGAGTCTCACTGTGTTGCTCAGGCTGGTGCCCAAACTCCTGACCTCAATCCTCCTACCTCAGCCTCCCAAAGTGCTAGGATTACAGACATAAGCCACCATACTTGGCCCTTCTAAGACTTTAAAAGAAAATTAAAAAGCCAAAAGAATGCTAATGTAAACATAAAGTTATACTTTATTTGCCATGTTTTTGCAAAGTATTTTGTTTTTGCAAAGCACTTCAAGTGTTTTTGTATTTGAAGCTCCTTTTCTTGAATCAGTTTCAGGATTTATTTTGATGCATATCTACTATCGCTCATGGAATTATTTATTTTAGTGCATATTATTTCTTATGGAAATTTTCTTTCTTGTAAATTAAAGCATGTTATGTTCTACCTGTGGCATCCTACATCTTCAGATAACTTTCTTTTTAAGATCATTCAGGTTGTGTCTATAGAAATAATTTTCAAGTATCATGGAAAACAATGTTAGGCAAGGGGGAAAAATAAAAAATTTAGGTCATTCCAACCCATTGTAATGCATCTAAGAAATCAACTCCAGAGAATTCCAAATAGCAACATAACAAAGTACAAATTTTATTTTAATGCAACTTTCAACTTCTTTTAAGAGCAGTCACTTTTTTCTGTAAAGCTGGATCATTGAGCCAGACAGAATGTGACCCTGAATTTTGCTAAATGGATCCAAATGAAAAGGAAAACCATATTGGCTAACCCTCAATATTAAAGTGAACATTTTTTCCATCATATAAGACACATATCAATAAAATCAGGGTAAATAAATTGGATAGCTCTTCAAATTTTACCCTAGAGTTGAGAGGACTTTATGAGGTATCTTTAGCTCCTCTTCAACTTTAGCCACACTTTAGATTATATGATGCTCTTTGATACAATGCTCTTTAAAATGTCAAGATTTTTGCAAAGTCCACCAAAACAGCTACTATATGTAATACTACAATTACTATCTGGTACATTTTTCTTAAAAATTAATCATCACTCACTGCAGCATCTAGCTGTTCTAAATTATACTGCTGAAGGTTTTTTTTTTTTACTTGCTTCTCAAAAGGTATTTGAAGTGTTGCTGAACGTAAAGTGTATACAAAAAAAACACTTCACATTTATTTTTCCATATTCATAACAGTCTCTTGAGCTGATTAAGTGCCATGTACATTTTTAAATCAAAACTTATCACTGTCAATTCTTTTACTATTCCCTCTCTATCCTGAGCTCTTCCAAATGCTAATAATCGTAAAGTATCTATTATCTGTGCTTTTTTTCTGGTCTTCCACAACTTCACACTCCAACTATTTGTACTTCACACCCCTTCACCCATTAAAGCACTAACTCTATAAGGTACTTAACCATATGGTTAACTTTCCGCATAATTTAACTTTTCCTTTGACAAACGTAAACCTCACTGTAATTCTCCTTCAGCGTTCCCTTCCTTTCTAAATTCACATCAACACTGCCGCGAAATAACGCATATATACATGCTTATTCTGAAGCCCAAATTAATCAGTTTAGAGACACTAAAAAAGAATTTAAATCCCAGATGCCTCGTTTCGATACTCCGTAGAAGCTTTTGACTTGTTTTCCTCTTCCTACCTGGCCAGCCTACCTCAACTGTCAGTGGTAAGGTCCCTTGCTGTCCCCAGGGCAGGAGTGCAACTCACTACAGTGTATTTCTTTTACTCCCTATCATTCCCAGCATCTCCTTCCATTTCTGCTCATCTACCCCCTGGTGAATCCCTCCAACCCCAAAAGAATCCGTACCCAGGTATCCGTACCCATATCTCAAATTAGAACACCCCTCGCTGACATCGCCGGGGCTTTCTGTACGACTTTTAGAGAACACGCGAGGCTGAGCATTTCTACCTGCTTCAGCAGCACCCGCTTCCCACTGAGTTCGGTCTTCCCTCGCTCTTCCTCCGTGGAATGCCTACTTCGGGGCAACCCTTTGGTTCAGGGAAGCCCAGCCTCTGCCCCATGTCACCGCGAGCCCAGCACGCCACACAAGCTTAATTCGCCCCCTTCGTGGAGCTTGTGCTCTCGATGCCCCTCAGCCCCAGCTCTCTGCAACCTCTTTCAGCCCCCAGCCCCCGAGCCAGACCCCAGATTAGACGAACGCCCACTTGCTCCGGCTGCAGTGCGTCCCCGGCCCGGCCCCTTCCACACCACTCAGCCCGGAGCGGTACGGCTTCTCACCTAGCTTCGACCGGGACTCCTCCAGTTTCTGGATCTGGTTCTCCAAGAAGAGCATCGCCACGGCGAAGGCCACCACTGCCAGCAGCTGCAACTTGGGCGGCATCATAATCCTGAGGAGCCCCATGAAACCCGCTGCTCGGGATCAAGACATACCGCGGGGGGCGGGGAGCGGGGCCCCGGAGGCGAGAGAGACGCCGGGAGGAGCCCACCGAGCCGGGAGAGAGGCGAGGGAAGGGAGCGCGACAGCCAGAGAACCACCGCAGCGACCCCCCTTCTCGCCTCTCCGGTCCCCCGCCCCCAGGCGCTAGCACCAACGCCGCCGGTGCCCTCTTCTCCTCAGCCGACTCTACAGCCGCCTCCTCCAAAAGCCCGCGCAGCAAACACAGCGCGAAGCGGCTGCCGGGCTTTTGCCTCCCTCTACTGCCTCAGTTCCCGACCCCCGCGCCCGCCCGCCTGCCAGCCTGCCCGCCTCCCTCTCTTCCTTCCTTCCCTCCCTCCTTTGCCCGCGGCCGCGCGCTCCTCCACCGGCGCTGCGGCTGCGGCTGCGCCGCCCTCAGCCCCGCCCCCACCCATCCCCCTCCGCCACCACGCGCACGCATCCACGTACGCTGCTGGGCAACCAGAGGCTCCACCCCCTCCCCCTGTTCGATGGTGCTTATTGGACCGAAGAACCCCAGCTCTTCGTACTCGGTCTGGTTTACGGTTGGTTTCCTCTGCCAAGGGCTCTATCACGGCGGCATTCGATTGGGTAAACTTGGAGGAGAAGGCAGGGCAGAAACGGGTGAAGGCGGGGCTTCTTAGCTGCTTGACGGAGTGTCGTGAATGAAAGAAAGGAGCACTGAGTAGCAAAGAAGTGGGGAGTTTAAGAAAGTGCCTGATTTGGGTAATCGAAAGCACTCAGTGACTGTCTTTATAGTTGATCACCTTTAAGCTTTCATATGCCCTTGGTTTATACCCGTCTCTGCAAAACAAGAGATTTGATGGCAGGAGCCTTTAGCGGCCTGTTTTGGATCAGGCTCTGGAGTGGACGCCCCTAGCTAAGGGGTCCTGTAGGCAGCCAGAGACCTACAGAAGATGGAGGCGATGGCCGCTGGGCCTGGGCGATGGCTTGTTCCGGCGTTTGGGCTGCGTTTGCTGTTGGCGACTGTACTTCAAGCGGTGAGTGTAGATCACCTCCGCAGCTGCCCCAAGGGCGAGTAGGAGGAGTACAGCTGAGGAAAACGGAACATTTAGTCCTGGTTGGGAGCCACCTTTGAAAAGGGTGGGAGGACTGAGCTTCCTTAGTAACGACTGCGGCTGGAATGCAACGTGGCCTTAATTTCTCAGTTGATGATTATTCTCCCCTGCCTTGGGTTTCTAGCAGCAGTGTTTTCCAAACTTAAGATTGTCTTGAGTACTTATTTTCTGTTACACAGCTCTGGCTAAAAACAATCAGTAAGTCACACAGGGCGGGGCAGTAAAGATTGGCAAAGAGTGAAAGTGGTTTTTAAACGGGAGGAAATTCAAGGGAACTGCTATCCCTTGTGCCGAGGCTCCCAAATCTTAGAGGAAAGTCTTCTAGTCTTCGGTCCAAGTGAAGAATTCCTGTTGACATCTTTCGCTCGCTCGCTCGCTCTATCACTCGTTCTTCCTACTTAACTGTTAGCCTCTTACCTCTCTTTGGCAATCACATACCGCTGTGTGCTCTTCAGTGTGATTTGTGGTTTTAAACAATGTTGTTGCAATATAAGAAGCTTCTGTATTCCAAAGCATAAGTTATTTTTGAAATTGTTTTTTTAATTTATGGCTGTCATTATGGCTTAAAATTGGGCAGTGTTTTTTATTTTTTTCCATTAACAGAATAGATGAGTTCTTAATCTTTGAATGGGGAAAGCCTAATTTTGACTTATTTTTCTATTCGTTCACAAAACAACTAGACGTTGGCCAGCTCCTCATAAGAAGTTTGCAATAGGCCGGGCGCGGTGGCTCCCGTCTGTAATCCTAGCACTCTGGGAGGCCAAGGCGGGTACATCATTTGAGTTCCGGAGTTCGAGACCAGCCTGAGCAAGAGCTTGACTCCCGTCTCTAGAGACCAGCCTGAGCTGGTTCGAGACCAGCTGAGCAAGAGCGAGACTAAAAAATAGAAAGAAATTAGCTGGACAACTAAAAATATATAGATAAAATTAGCTGGGCATGGTGGCACATGCCTGTAGTCCCAGCTACTCGGGAGGCTGAGGCAGAAGGACTGCTTGAGCCCAGGAGTTTGAGGATGCTGTGAGGTAGGCTGACGCCAGGGCACTCTAGCCAGGGCAACAGAGTGAGACTCTAAGAAGAAAAAAAAAAGAAGTTTGCAATACATGTTTTGCTATGTGAATAATAGAATTTTAGGCACTCTGTTGGGAGCTTTTACATTTCTTAATTCTTCAGGTATTCCCTACTTAGCCTGCTGAAAAGTTTTCTCCTAGAGAACTGGTTTAATTGATTTGTCCAAGATTTGGGGGAGTTAGGGACTATATGATAGGCCTCTATAAACACCTTCTTTTCTTTCATGAAGGAGTTTCAAAGCATCCTGCCTGTTTGCTTTTGCTACCTTACCAAAAAGGTAGATTCTTTACTTCTCTAATTAACATTCCATTACTCAGTTATTCAGGTATTTGGTGCCTTAGAAATTACTGGAACTCTCCTCTCTAAACTTGTACTCTTTAATTTTTGGTGCATCTTAGGTCATAGGAGTTCACTATCACCACTGTGGAAGGATAAATAGCATTTCAAGTTGCCTTCTGATCTCCCTGTCTGTGACTTTCAGTTGTCTGTGGCTGTTTAAAGAGCTCAAAACTTAAAACAACAGTGATTTCTCATAATTCCGTGGGTTAGTAGAGTAGTTCTTCTAATTTCCTCTGGTCTCATTTATGCACTGTGTTGAGCTGAACTGAAATGTCCAAGGATACCACCATTCGTGGTTTGTGCTATCAGGTGAGGTGACTTGATTCTTCTCCTTGTGACCTCTCATTCCCTAATAGACTAGATCAACTTCTTTTCGTGGCAGTCTCAGGGCAACACTTCAAAAGAACAAAAGTAACAATGCCTCTTAAGGCTATGCCTTGGAAATCACATATATCACTTCTACCACATATTTGTCAAAGTAAGTCACAAGACCAATCTACATTTCGGGGATGAGGAAATAGAGTCCATCTATCTCTACGTGGGAAGAATGACAGGTCACATTGCAAAGAAGTGTGCATTATCAGGATAGGATAAATTTATGGCCGTTAAATAATGTACCACAGTGGCCATCCATAGAATTTAAGCCTTAAACTTGGGTGACATCTTTGACTCCATCATTTCCTTACATATCTCACATCCAGGCAATTACCAAATCTAATTGCTTTTACTTTCTAAATATCTCTCACATCCCTCCACTAACTACTGTTAGTCCCTCATTTGGGGCAAAAACATCTTTCACCTTAGAAATAACAGCCTCCTGGTTCACCCTTTGAGTTATGTCTATGTTCAGAACTTAAATGGTTGGCTTTGCTGGCTTACCAATTACCTAAGACAGAAATTAACCATTTTAAATCCTCTTTCCTTTGATTCTTTAAATTCAATTAGTTACTTGACCCTTAGAACTCTCCAAGACAGTCCAATTAATTCTGTTTCTTCAGGTAGTAACTTAAATTCAGGCTACTGTCTTTGCCTGCCTGGAATTACCACAACAGCTTCCTTAACGGTCTACCCATCTCATTTTCTTTCTTTCTAATCCAGTCTCTTCAGTGTATCCAGAGTGATCTTTCTAAACCTTAAATTTGCCATAATAAAAACTCTTCAGTGGCTCCCTGTTGCTTTAAGGTGAGGTCTCTCCTCAGCATTCCTTAATAAGGCACTTGTTTGTCCAAGCTTAGTTTCCCAACATTTACCTCTACTGAGATAGCAAAAAGGTAGAGATAGAGAATTGGCATCACTTGTTTTAGTATATATCACACATTATGTTCTCATTCAGCATGCCTTTGAACATGGTGTTCAATTAGCTTATTAGTGATCCCAACTGGAGGTGTCTATGAGAATTATGGGGGGAGGAGAGGTTAAAATACACATACTTGGACTCTGCCTTAGATATGATTCAAAAATTTCCTGATAACTGTATAACTCTTGCTAGTAAGTACAGACTAAAACCTTTTGAGGACAGGAATCAACTTACCCATTCTTTTGTGTGACCTCCACAAGAAAGAGCATACTAACTTACACACAAAAAGCCATCAAATAAAACTGCAAGGTTATCAGCCACAACCACACCATTCTGCTTAAGTATCCCCATAGACAGCCATCATACACAGCCCCTCTCTCTCAAACTCTGCCTACTAAATTCATATTCTTAGTGTTGTGTAAAAGTGAAAAACCACAGTAAACTTTAAGGAAATCTATTATCTAGTTTAACTTCTAATAACTGACTGCAATCTAAGACAAATTAATTTACTCTTGGCCTTAGTTTCCTTATTTCCTTCTTGTTTAGATACAATACAAAGCTTAATCCACATTCCACTTCCAGACTTGCAAAGTCAGGTGTAATTTCTCCCTTATATATTCTGTCATCATATTTTGTACTGTATTACACCGATCCACACAGTCTTAACCAATCATATCTGTGTGTGTGTGTGTTTGTGTGTGTGTGTCCATCTTTGTCCACCCCTCCACTCCTTTTGCCTCTGTGCCAACTAGAATGTAGCCAAAGGGAATACAGGAACCTTTTTTTTTTCATAATTTTTTTTGTGCCTCATATGTATGTGTTCATTTAAATCCCTCTGAGGTATAAATGGCCTCCCAGTTCATTCATATTGCTCCATGCTATCAGTCATCAGGATATCTGCACTTTGTGTACAGCAGTGATAAACCCCACCTACTCCCAAGAGAAAGGGAGTCCTGAAGAATTCACCCTTAATAAACTGTTTGAACTTCCCTAAGGTTTATTGTGTCTCTTCCATAATGAGTAATGTTTTTAAGAAGAAAAAGCAACAAAAACTTTGAAAATGAAAAGGAATATGGAGAATTGTTGGAAAAACAGTAAGAAGTTAGAAAAACTCCTGAATTTCACAGTCAGCCAAAGGAAATAAAAGACCAGGATAAGTAGTTGGCAGTAGTGAAAATTAGCCATATCTTTGGAACCTGACATGTGAATAAAAAGGGGATGAGAGAACAATTCCTTTTTACACCTTGAGATCGAGTTACCACTGGGTATAGAGAATAAAACTGTCCTTTGGACTTAGCTCATATTTTGTTAATTCACACCTCTGAGTCCTTAAACTAGATAAGTTGAGTTTCTGTGCCTGTCTACACCTCTGAATAGCTATAATTTCAAGTTAATGGCAGTGTGTAGTTATCAGCATTTCAATGGGTTGGCAACTGGGAGCATATAAAGTGATTTAATCTGAAAATACATTCTGAGTATGCTTAAGCATTAGAAAAGTAATATTTTAGTACAACGTAAGGGAGCTGTTTATAGAAGCTCCCCAAAGTGATATTTGATCCTTCATTCAGATGATGTATAATATT